TGGTTTGTTATTGTAGGTAAATTTGAAACTGGAATTCAGGAAACCATACAACACTTTATGTAAACAGTCAAACTCGATAATTTAGATTCTGAAACAACCGAAGATAACAAATACCTATTGTACTATTGAATTTGTTAGCTTTAAAAGTATATAGGTATATGTAAGTGTTATTTTTATTATAATATGTATATCTTAGTTAGATTTTTTATAACAGGCGTGGCGTTCATACAGAACTGATGTGAGTAAATGTGATAGAATAGAATAGAAATAGAAATAGAATAGAATATAATAGAATAGAATAGATAATTACATATTAATCAATTTGTATTATAAGATACCATCTTTCCCTGCTTTGAGGAACTGTTCGTTACACTGGGAAATGATTTTGGATAGAATTTTAGGCTGTGATCAATCATTACAATTTATTAGTTATAATTTTACCGTTAGCTATACTTTATAATTAGCTCCTCCAATCGCAATTGAATATGTCCAAATTTTAAATTTAACTATTACTACTCACTATTAAAATTTTGTTCAAATCTTCCCAGTATATTGTGATGATGTAACAAAGGGCAGAGTATAATCAGTTCTAAAAATAGTAAATTCGCATTCTTATACTCATTTTTACCTCCCTACCTAATTTACGCAAAAAGTAATTAATTTAAAGACTGGTCGTCCCTTACCCTTTTATAATACCTACAAGTATTATTACATTATAAACATGAAAAGCTTATACTTTTATCACAGATTAGATAATTACTGCGTTGTTCTTTTGACTTTAATGTACAATAACAAGCATGGCATTTAACAAACTCATAAAATTTTTATGCTTATATTTTATTAATAATATAATTATAACATCCATTTGTTTTCAAGACAATTTTTCTATCAAAGTGACAAAATCATTCAAGAACATGATTGTATGACTGACTACAACTTAATATATTATATAATATTAATATGATCATGGTGTCGACAAACTAGGACATCACGGACTGTCATGCCAAAAAAGTGCAGGCATTTTCTCGAAACATGCCGCACTTAACGATATCATACGCCGCCGGTCCCTCGCCAACGTGCATGTCTACTTGAGCCGACTGGTATTGTAAGAGACGATGGCAAGAGACTGGAAGGTATGAGTTTGATTCCATGGAACATGGGCTGGGTGCTGGTATGGGATACAACCTGTTCAGACACGCTGGCCCTATCCTATCTACATAAAACCAACAACAGCGCTGGTGGGGCTTGTGAAGCAGCTGACAAAGCTAAAGCATCCAAATACTGGGGTCTAGGCTCCGAATATGATTTTGTCCCATTCGGTGTCGAGACCCTTGGTCCGTGCTGTCCTAGCGCTATTAGACTTTTCAAGGAAATAACAAAAAAGTTAGTTGATATCACAGAAGACCAAAGAGCTGGCAACTACCTCGGACAAAGAATTAGTCTAGCCATTCACAGGGGGAACGCTGCCAGTATCTTCGGAACCTTGCCTAAAGGGACTTCTTTTAATAATATATTTTAGTTATTAATTATATTTTTAAGGTTTTTAATTTTAAGTTCTTTGTTGCACAATGTTCAGTCATGATGTAGTTACATCTTGATTTTATTTATGTTTTTAAAAATATTTGGATGTAGAAATTAATCGATTACTCTATATCAAGGTTTAAAAAGATGGAATAAAATTAAGTTAGGAGACATACTTTATAGATTACTGAACTAGTACTACTAATACTTCACGTAACTAATTCTAAAAGATACTTCTGCTAGGAATGAACTCTAACTATAATTTAATTTTGAACAATCATATTACCCTGGCAAATCTTACAATTTACAGAAAAATCAACATTTATAAGTACTTAGTTTCCATAAGTCTGTACTCACTTCAGTGCCATCACTGACCTTTCAAACATATCAAAGCTCATGAGACAAATTGCCTTATGGTAGAAATGTATGAGACTGGGATACGTAGAAGACTTTGTACAAAGTCTACCACGGTGTTGTGGACATATGGTATTACCTGAGATTGACACTGTTCGAGTACCTACTACAAATATATAATAACATGCATGTTCTAGAGATATACAGATACCGTATATCTGTAGAACATGCATGTTATTTTGAATATAAATTATCTCAAAATAATGTTGAGGTTAAAATATACATACTTTCTTTTAAATATCTAATATCTGTGTGCGAAGTGCAGAAAATGCTCGTTTCCTGCCCTTTCTTATGATACCCTCGTTCCGGTCTTTCCTACTCTTTGTATCCTACTTCCATAGTCACATTACTTAATAAAATAACTTTTTGTCCTTAGATCGCTTGACTGAATTATTCTATAAAAGGACCGACTTTTATTGCCAACTTATGGTGAATAGCCTCCTTTCACATAAATTTATTATAAATATTTTTCATATTTATAGACATTTTAATTCGTTGTTAGATCTACAGCGAAAATAAATTATTCCTACAATATTACTTATTATAATATTAATTATGTACTTTTTGGCACTTTGTAGATCTAAGTAACAAACATAAAATATTTAAACATACATACATATGTACGTTTAAATATTTTATGTAATAATTTGGAAATAATGTTTTTATATTATAGAAAAAATAATGTTCTTATTTTCATAGATCTAATCTGAAAGTTTATACATTTTTTATGAGCACCTTTAAATGGTCGAGGAATAAAATATTTTATTTTCTGTAAATTAGATTAAAGGCATATGAATGAAGAATATTGGAAACGCAGTTATCACATACTATACGATGAGATACATAGTCATTGTAGTACCTGGTACCAGCTGGTTCATTAATTAAAAGTTATTTTCTTTACAACTGCTTCCATATATTTTTAATTTTAGTGTAATATGAATATATATAATTTTATTTTGGGCACTAATAGGTACTGTAAAATATTTTTATAACAAATAGCTAATCTGGCTCTATAATTACGGTTTCAATAATTGTCTGGATTGTTTGTTTTTTAATTAAGATTATCTATAATAATTATTATTAATATTGTAAAGAAGTAAAGACCGTGAGTACTACAGCTGTCCTTGATTAAAGGGCTATCAAACACTAAAATAATTTACAAAATCGTAATACAAAACATACTAAATATTCAGGATAATCTTTTGTATTACTATTAATTATCAGATTTTGTAAATTATTTTAGTGTTGGATAGCCTATTAATCAAGGAAGGCTGTAGGCCATATAATATTACGTTGCGATAAATAGGGCCAGACCTGTAATAAAAAAGTTTCAAAAGTGGGGAAAATGTAACGCAGATGAAGTTGTATTTAGTTGTTATAACAAACTGTTGGTTTACAAACACATTATGTTTTATTTATTTGTTAACTATAAATAAAAGATATTAAATCAAAGACTGACTTATCTGTTTATTTTGAATAATAAAGAAACATATAGAATGCTTGTATTTTGTCTCATTTCATTGAGGCAAAACTGTGGAATACAGCTGCGGCTACAGATCAACAAAATGTGAACGCTGTGGATCAGGTGAAGCATCAGCCCCTTTACTATTTCTAGTAATATAAAGATTTATCCAGTATCCTTATGAAGTGCGAAAGATCAGAGAACTAAGTTTCTAAGACTTTTTATACTTACTCAGTGTTTTCATTATAAGTTTTCAGTTCTCCTTTGTAGATGATGTTAATCCATATTACTTCTTAATGGAGGAGAATTTCATATACATTAGAGTTTTGATATTTGTTATTAATATATGAGATTTTGCGATCTCTTCTCCAATTTGGAACTGATTGTGATGTTTTTTCAATAATATACAGTTAGTTGTAATCTCGTACCTACGATTAATATTGTCAATATTTATATATATCGTGTCTTAATAATTTATATTTGATGTCAAAGGTTTCGAGCGATCTCTGCATAATCACCCACTTTCACGTTATATATCTGTTTTGTTATTCTCCTTATATCTGTAAAATCATATGCACACTATGCACCTACACACATCAAAACAAACAACATTACCAAAATAAAAGACATTAGTGTCCGCAATCATTTTATTACTATTCTGGTATGCTTACAAATGTTCAATTAAGTAGTTAAATACATCTACATTTTGATAATTTAATACACAACCCTTTCAATAACTACTCGTCGTCAAGTTAGCGAGTTTTTCAGAATGATCGCCTCAACGTAATCTGAATACACATAATGTATTTTTGGCTGACAAGAGATTACAAACATAAAGTAAATAATTTTATTTACACCTATTAATATTTACACACTTCTATAATTATATTTACAAGAATCTAATTCTCTTAGTATTAAAAATCTCAATTAATTTATTCTCAAAGATCCTATATTTATAATATTGATATTATAACCTAAATAATTTTTCAATAACGTTATAATACAATTTTTTACTTGTCCACGACAAGTCACAGTTATATAAATTTGTCTACAAATGAAAGAAATAAAGTTGTAAACACATAGAACATTGATAAAGTGACCTTATGTCTTACTTACCCTTTTGTCTTGTCCGTTTACTTAGAAACTCGTAAATTTGTTTGTGTCCTCACTCTTTCCACATAAGTAAGGAAAACAAGGACAAACATGGTATAAAAACAAAAGTAACTGAAAGTAACGTTTAGTACTGATCCGGCAGATATGCTACGAAATGATCTGGAATGGAACCATGTTATTATCTAGAGAATTCAGTATAAGTAATTTTTACTAATTCCAATAAATGTATGTATAATGTATATGTGTGTTAACTCAGTAACTATGCAAGTATAAACATATAAATAAGATTTATCAAGTCATAAAAAATAAGATCATAGACCGTAATAATACCGAATAATATATCTAAATTCAAGCAGTGAATTGGAACTTTCATTAAATTAGTCATATACTGAAGAAAAGTATGGACTTAAAAGTATTTTCTTTTCTCTGAAAAGAAAGAACGGACATCTTGAACATTGATAAGAGTATGTCAATTGACGAGGTCGTTTGAAAACTAACAGTCGCATCTCTTAGTAAAGGAAAGGCAGTCGAGTACGTACTTACGAAATAAACAGTCAATAGTTTCAAGATATTACGCTCTACTTTTAATGACGAAAAGGTTACCTTTTAGAAACGTAAAAGTATCATTTATACCAATTTTTATAGGATTTAAAAACACGTTTTAAATTTAAGTTTTAAATATAAAAAAAAATTACAATTGAATTATTTTAAAAGATTTTCTTGCTGCCTATGTATTTTAGGTAGAAGGATAGCATTAATGTTTGTATGCAGAATATTTTTATAATATGTGTTTTGTAAAAGACAAATAATGTTTTAATATAGATACAATATTGCATTCTGTCTATGCCTGTAAAGATAACCGTGCAAATAAATAAATATTTTATCATTTATAAATATTATATTCCATGCCGCAACGATGAGTAACCGAATCTCTGTTGATTTATAGCGTATTCAACGAGTTTAATGTATTTTTTTATTAATTTTTTTTGAACCAACAATACCGTAATTCGTCAAAATAATAAATCGAACTGAAATATATTTTCATTGAATTTGCCTAATAAGTTTTCAATTCAATCGACGTTGGACCTTTAATGAAACGAGTATTATTTATTAATTATAGTTATATTTATTTATTCCTCTTGAAAAAAACTGCTTGAATAGTCGTATTAAAATATATCAAGAACTACATCGCAGTGATATCTTCGAAATGCGAAGTGAGATCAAAGGAATCGACAAAGTTTATTGTCGGAATGAGAATCGTCATCGCATACGAACATTGTCGACGCTTGTTTGTCCAACTAGATCGAAGGCAAATAACGTGGCAAAGAGAGCAACTGAAGGCTTAGATACATTACATATAGATAAGCTTCTTGCTTCCATTCAATCTTGGTTCGTTCCAGATTGGAATAACGAAATCGATTCGCTAGTAATCTCGGCACAGGATTAAGACGACGGGCGTAGTTAGCTGGAAAAACAAAGGAGAATCAGCTAAGGATAATCTTATAACGCTCCTTGTAAAGTAAACGCGTCCCGCTAATCTTCTTAGAGCCCGTTTATTATCGAAATTATTTTACTTCGTCTTTCATAAAAGGGTAAAATAACAAAAGGGTTTTATACTGTTTGAAGTGTCGACCATAAAATTGACGTATTACTTTTGAACATATTATTTACCTCATAGAAAATATACAATAATAATATCGTTGTATTTTAAATACAAATCACTAACAAAATTCAACAGTTTTTTAAACTCGTTTGTATCAATACAAACAGTTGTTTAATAATGTTACATAAAAATTATACAATTGTACTCTGTACATGGATTTTCTTCCGCAGTTTAAAACGTTTTGGAAGTCGTAGAAGTAACCACATAGAAATTGGTCATCTTAAAGACTGTTTTTCTAGTCTTAAATTGTTTATAATTTCAGTAAGATGGATATAGACATTGGCAGAAAAGATTGAGATGACTATCGCTATTATTGAGATGTGATGCCCAAAGAGCGGTAAGAGAAGTAGTAGCCAGGTGGTGGGCCGATTGTTGATGGCAGCAACAGTTGCGAGAATGGCGCTGTTCAGGTGATGTGGCGTAGATCCAGAGCTTTGCATGGCTGCGGGACGCTCGCCGCTCAGTACGTGAACTATTACCGATGCTGATTCTGTATAAATAAAAAAATAAAATAAAATTAGACACGCCTTCATTAGAGACCATTTTTGTGTAACAAAAATAAAAATAATTTTATGAAATTAGAAGCAGGTTCACCAGAGATCATTTCTAGTTGTTAGTTCATATAAATTAGGTCATGGGTTCGATTAAGACAGGCTTTATCTGGGCGTTGTGGATTATGCCCCAGATGTTTTGTTCACCGATGAGACTATTCAGTGCTTGCTAGCGTTTAATAGGTTTTGCATAGAATGTAAATATAAGTATCTATTATATTCAATAAAAATATATAAATGTTAAAGTTAGGTAACTATAAATGTGTTTATTTAATTATAACCAAACTATATAAAGAGTAAAGTTAACCTTTGGGAAATTTTGCAACTAAAACTAGTAATAAATTATGTTTTTTAGTTTTTTTTTCTGATTTAATTACAAATATGATACGATTTAATAGTCTATAAATAAAATTAATTGACCTGTTTTTTTTATTCATATATATTGCATTTTTATGTATTTCTACAAGTGTAAAATTTAAAGAAATATGTACATATATATTTTACCAGAATCTGTTAAGCGAATAATATTGGTAGTAAGACATTGTTCCTTTCTTTGTTATGCATATGAAGTTACGTAGAATATCGAGGTCTTTCTTAATTGGATAGTGGATCTGCTTTGTTTAGTTAAATATAACCTGTATCTGAAGTATATAAATCAATGTACCTACTCTAACTTTTTATTACATTATTATTGAAGTTATAATCATATCAAGTGGTAAAGTTGCATTTTAATAGAAATTAGCCAATATTATTCTTGCACACCAAAAATAAATATAAAGTCATAATATAATCAAAAAATCTTATTTGTACTTCTGTGATTTTATGTTTTGGTTTTAAAAAGAGATCTCTTTAATAATTTCTTCTATGGTAACAATATTTATTTGTGTTTTAAATATAACTTTTTTAATTATATCCGTCCATATCCGATTTTTTTAAATTTAATAATATGTTGTATTATTATTATATTGTTATTAATGTATTCGTTTGAATATAAAGTGAACGAGATTTATTACCACAGAATCTGTAAAACAAATAACGCCAATACTAAGATACAGTTTCTACCCTTGTGGTTTGAAGTTAGGTAGGACATCGAGGTCTTTGTTAATTGAATAGTCAACCTGCATTGTTTAGTCAATATAAACTGAAGTATATAAATCGATGCAGTTATGTACTCTAACTATAAGGCTAATGGGAAATAAATGAATCAATATGAACGAATTAAAGGCGATTAATCCAATTTTACAATAGGTAAACTCGCTCGTTACGCAATTATAAATCAATTTGTGTATCAGTTTTAATCTGGATAAACAAAATATTTAATACAACTGCGTTAGTAATGTCCCATTTGGTTATTGTAAATTACATTTGCTACGGTCGAGAGTCATAATTATGACATGCTACTATTATTACGGTATTAAATGCTGTTACGCTATATCTATGTGTCCAATACGCAACTTAAAGAGTGTGATCTTCAACTGATCTTTTCTGTATTTACCAGTTGTCTATACTCATAACATAAATATTCAAGTGTGTCTAACTTACTGCCTATCCATTTGCTATTTTTTACAATTAAATAACTGGACGGATTTCGATAGATAGGTAGTATAGGCTTGTAAAGGATGGATATAGGGTATATTTTACCTAAAATAAAGACCTATCCGGCCTAGAAATGCAATATACCTTTATTGTGGCCAAAAAGCAGATAAAGTTGCATGTAACAGCAAGTATTTATTACAAAAAAATAATTGGTTAGGTTACTATCATCATTAGCTATTTTAAAACACTCTTTGAAAAGAATTCCCGTATTACAATATCTTTATTAAATTCGTACTCGGTTGTAATTAATTCACTATAATTACTAGTAATACAGGTGTAGAACATTTAACGCTATTAACAACAGCCAGGAAATCGCTACTAAATTATGTCATGCCACCCCTTTACACAAAGGATTATGGGGCTGCATAGAAACAACCGCCGCGTGCAGGCAGTAGGTACATCCTAATTACATATTTACCCCCTAGCAATTAGTGTGTACGTATGTTGATTGATTAATCCGCAAACCGACAAAACTAGATATCGGTTGAATTATTTTAGATTGGTACACTTTGAAGTCCCAATTGACGAAGCAGTCTAATTGTACCTGAGTACATAGCATGAGTTACATTTAACAGACTTGATAAAACCAATCTACAAAAATATAAAGGTGAGTATTCGTCTTTGTTCGTCGTCACTTTGTTCATTTAAACGCTCTAATATTTGATTCTACCACTCAGATTTGAAAAATACTTTTTCATTTTCTAGGCTAATAGTCTAAGTTTAGTAGCTAGTAGTAGACGACGACCACTACCATCGGAAGCAAGGGGTGCTAAATCGCTAGAGGACCGACGACGTCAATATTTGCAAGATACTAATGAACAATATGTATAATCTGCATATTTCAACATGTTGCTACACTTTTTGTTAATAAGATGCATATGTAATGTGTTAACTAAAGTGTTTGTAAACTACTAATCATAATTGTATAATTCAACTAAACAAATAAAAAAGTCCCATAGAGATTCTAAGTGTTGAAATAATACTCGTATAGTTTAAGGGCGATACGATGCGAAGCAGGACATTATTTCTACTGAACTAAACTGCGAGGCACAGTACCTATATTATATAGGTACTAGGTAATATATAGGTCTAGACCGTTCTAGAGTATTGATTACTAAATACACAATATTTCATTACTTTTTAAAAAGTATATTACTCTTATCTATGTTATGTATAACGGATATCTCTATCCTCCCACTTCCGTATTTAAACAAGCCGGAAGTAGAACAATACAGCTATCAGGGGAACGTTAGACTGACCTATAATAATCAGATATTGTGCGGTCTATTGTTTTCTTTTTGTTGTATAATAAAGAATTAATTAATATCATCCGATGAAGAATCTGAAAGAAAATGGATCGAATAAAAGATAAAGGACCCTGTAGCACGAATTGAAATAACGATATATATATATATATATATATATAACCGGTATTTTTACATATAATTTGAATGACAGACAAGCAGTCGCCCCATTTGGTAACTGGACTAAATCATCACCTCAGGTATTGCAATGCTGGAGAACTAAGATGTCATACCCTTTGTCTTTTCTTTTTATTATCTTTTCAAGCATGAGCGATATCACGAGAGTCACGTGACAACATGATGGCCCTAGTATTGTTTATGTGTATAGGCAATGGTTACTTATTTGTCATTCTAATTATATAAAAAAAACATTCACATGTTTACAATAAAACACATAATGTTCTTTGTGACATTTTTGGCGCAATAAAGTGTTTAATTATTATTATGGATAACATTTAGACGACCTCGGTGGTATAGCGGTTAGCACACCGCTTTACGATTGATGGTCGCGGGTTCGATTCCTCGCACGGCACAAACATTTGTATTCATGAGTATGATTGTTTGTATCGGTCTGGGTGTTTTCTATGTATAATAAGTATGTATTTACAAAAAAAAAATATCTATGTATATGTATCAGTTCTCTAGTACCCATAACACAAGCTTTAGCTAGCTTAACTTGGGTCTAGATGGCGCTGTGTGAATTGTCCTGAGATTATTATTATTATAATTATTTATTACACCTACTTTTAAATTACTTGATATAGTAACATTTACTACTTCCACAATTAAATTATTACACCGCCCAATCTTAAAGTGAAGCAAAATGTCTTACTATAAGCCCGTTCCCCCTGAGCGTTTCCTTTGTCATTTTGTATTTACTGTTGTAATTATTCATGTTATTGGTAGTTAACATTAAAGAGTATTTATTATATGTATACATATGTGGACGTTGCAAGCGTAAACTGTAGGTTAATATACTTATTGGAAACACCTTCCTACTCAAACTCATTATATTCGCATAATTCTTTATTTATTTATTATACACTGAGCAACGTATAATTTAGTAAACTGTTTGAAGAAAAATTCCTTCAAAGACGCCATTAATTGGAGCATTATATTTGATCACAGACTATAATCAAAACATATTTAATGTTTTGTTGCTAGCCTATGGTAATACTAACTTCTTTATTAATAATAATATTAGACTTGTAAAACACAAATTCTTCCTATACATAGAAATAATTTATTTCATTTGAATGAAAGCGATAACACAACAAATAGAGTTTGTGTTGTTGCCTTTTAATAGTTAATTGTCTCTTTAAGTAATAGTTTATATGGTTTAAAGAAAGGTTATACTTGTAACGGCGTGAGAAAATAAATATACAGCTTAGTGACGTGTTAGTATAAAAAAACTTACCAGAACTGCTGGGGGCACACGTGTAGTTGCCGGAATCATGAGGAGCAGCTCGAGCTATTAACAGTCGGCTAGTGCGGGTGCGTTGTTCAGTTTCTACGCTGATGCCGCCTCGTTGTGCGTAGTTCACTACTTGTTCTCCACGGTACCAATAGATGAAGCTGCAATTAATTTTTTTCTACAATCATCAGTTCTGAGACAGTTAAGTGACTACCTTACATAGCGACTTATAAGATTAGTTTAAATAAGTTGTATTTAAATATGCTCCTACCTGCTGTACATTAACAAGTATATAATGAAGATTAATTAAAGTAAATTTCTCATAAATGTATGTAGTTAAGAAATACTTTCAATATTCTAAAATTGATGTTACGTATATTCCTAATATTAATACATAGATATATAATATATTTTTTAAATGCCAGATTCTCACTGAAGTACGCTGAAATAATGAAGCGCAGAATTCTCTAATTCAAACATCCCTCTTTTACCTCCTTCTCAAATGTATAAAACATATTTTTATTACAAATTTTATTTAGCTTGCTGTGGTTTATGTTGTTAAATCCTGCAATTAAATTTTAGAACGGTTCGTCTAGTACTTAAACCAATTGCACTAAACTTTGGAATATTTGTTTTGTATATCGGTACTTGTACATATATTTAAACTAATTTCATCTGTTTATGTTATATAATATTATGTATATATTTAAATAATTGTCTGCCAACAATTCTGTCAATATATTCTACTTATGTATATGAATAACTTCGATGACAGTGCAATAATAAAACAACATAGTAGGTACTACCATATTGGTGGTCTGATGATAAAGCGGGAAGTTAGCAAATCGAAAATTGGAAGAAAACTATTATTTTACCTCATTAGGTTATTATTGAGTATATAGGCTTATTATATTAATCGCCATGATTACTTAATTTGAAGATATCTCCTATTTTCTGATTTTATATATCTGTAAAGACGATTTTTGTAAGATTTTAAAATACATTTTAATTATGATCTAATTTATTATTGTTAAAGTAAATATTATTAAAGTATATTTTAATATAAAATTATTTTAATTGTAATTCATCTTTAACTATACTTTTGCAAAGTATAGTAAAACATTAACACTACACAACCAATGCAATAAACGTGATAAAGAAATACTATTAATAATATTTACTTTATTCGATTTATGTATTCCACAGCATTTAGAAATATAATTCATAAAATTTTAATTAAATTGACTTGTAATTATAATTCAGGTGTTTATTTTCCCGCAATCAAATTGAAAGCAGTTTATTGTATATATAACTTGGTTATGAAATTTATTATCTATTTATATTCGAATTACATATATCGCCCAGCTTTATGGTTATGTCATAGGGAGTAAAAATGCTTTTAGATACAATAACTTTTTGTTTGCTTTGTACAAACGTCGACAGATTAGATTAAGAATTTGGAAGACCTTAGAACAATATTTTTTATGTATAACTGTTTTTGCGACATTGACAGATAAATTAAATATGTCATAGTATGGTGCATGATCAGCATTTGAAAAGGGCAAATAAATTGATGCTATTGTGGAGTTTTAGATTATATCTTATTCCTTGATAATTTTGAACAATATTTTTTATGTATAACTGTTTTATATATGGAAATTAAACTAAATGTGACCTTGATATAATATAAGATTATTAATATAACCATTGTATTAGTGTTATTTGGGACAAATGAAGATGATTATTATTAATATTTCCACTGTTTCGGAATCAATATCTTGTTGGATATATATTATTATTAATATTTCCTATATATATATTATTATTAGTGTTATATTTGGTGATGATAAGGTCGGGCTTATATCACCATGTCTTTTGTTTACACAATTGTATTTTTAAATATTGTTCACAGGATTGTTCAAAAATTTGTTACTATTATTATTATATACCTTGAGATTACTTTGTACAAACTGTTATAGTCATTTTCGTATTATTTTTGTGATTTATACTATAGCAAAAGCTTTATAGCTTTATAATAGATCTGTAAAACTTTTACAGTCAAAATAAATCTAAGAGCCGATCTCAATAACTCATGAGGTGACCTGAATAAAAAATGTCATCTCTCCACACGAAGCGTATCATCTTATCAATATTCAAATTGAAGGTCCCTCGCCGAGAGATCTCAGACACAGGGCACCATTAAATGGTGATAGGCAAAGAATGCCTCACTTAGGGACCCCAGTCGACCCTTTTATCTGGAAATAAGCTTATCATGTTTATGGATGCGAAGACTAAATGTATAGGCGCAGTGCGGTGTGAAAAGGTACACGATAACACACTTCCATTATAAGATCGTAAGATTTGGAAGGGGTCACCTATTCACCGAGACTTATGTGTTTACAACACTATTGACTGCCTCTATAGTGAAGTATAGAAGTTTATTCTACATATGGAAATCCCACCTTTTAATTTCGGATATCTAAAATATTTCGAATACTTGGTTACATTTTTTCTAGGTCGCTCTATTTAAATTAGTACTGTTATTATACAATTGTAGCATAGTAATTTAGAATACCGATTGTCTTATTAAAAAGAATAACGCCTAATAATTAACTAATATTTCCTTGTCTAAATATTTATTGTAATACATACATACTACTCGATATTGTCATACCCAAATAGTATACCAATATCTATGTAAGTTGAATCTTTACTCAAATAATATTATTAATGATAGTTATTTTTGTTTTTATAATATGTTAGATATTATAATTATAATATAATTATTGTCTAATATATACAATAATTCTATATACAATAACATAACATATAGTCATGACATGACTGGTTTACTATTCCTATTTATATAGTCTTATAAAACGCCAATATATATATAAATAAACGATTTTAATATTTTGAATGGCCTGTATAATGGCTAGTTACACGATAAAAAGCAGTGAAATAGAAATAAGAAATATATGTACCTGGTAAACAGAATCAGTACTTTTGTTTATAATCGGATTAGTTTTAGAAGCATTCCTTGTCTTCAGTCTCAGGCACAGGTACGTTCGGGATGGTTTGCATACGTGCTCTTTTAGAGTCATAGGCGGGACGCGACAGTTACAAGCACCTATTGTCCGATACATACGCTAATTTGGTAAACAATTGCTGTAGTTTATAATGACATACAGTGGTATTCCTGCGGTTTTATAATGAATATATACAACATACTTGGTATAGCATATCGTTCACAGAGTGGCGGCGAAATAGGTCGATCTAAGTACATATGTATGTGTATAGGAAGGTAGAAGGAAATTAATTGCATATTATGTACCGTATAAAATATGTATAAATCAATTACAAACTCATTCGCGTAATAAAGATGATTCTTCTCGACTAATTTACATTTGGAATAAAAATTTGAACATTTTATTTAATATGACTATTCTAACATATGCAGGAATACAAAATAACGTGGTTGTTTATTATGCAAAAGTCTTGTGCGTATATTATTTTATTATGTACCACAAAAGACCGCACAAAATGTTTTTGATGTTGCAATTTCCTCAATAATTTATTATACGGCAAGGTTATTTTCCTTATCGTCATAAAGTAATAATAATACAGAGTAAACGGTAGAGAATCTGAGATTTACGAAATTCACTTGAATTATATAACAGACGGTAGCAAAATTGTTGTAGACGCAGTTGTACATTACATAATACGATTGAAGGTAAATAAAATATAATGAAAAAAGAATTATATTATTTTCATAAAACGAATAGGTACGTATCCGTCGAACTTGACCTATCTTTATATCTTAAAAAAGAATTTCAAATATTCTTTAATTACACGTACATTTCGGTAAAGTATTCACAATATAAATAGGTTCTCAGATTAGGGTGTCTATAAGAGTGAAAGGAAATAATATTATAATATTAATCTTCATAAGACGCTAGTATGGATGTATACAATATACATAGATATATATGAATTCTCATGTATAAGGATCAATATCAGTTTTTTAACTTTATAAATAAGGTAGATCAATAATATATTCCAGATCAATATTATCCTTGCCATAAATTTCAAATATTTAAAGTATTTTCCACAAACAACTATTCTATATACGATAAATTACTTTGCAATAAATTGCTCATCTGAAGTTGCTGGTTATATATATATAGAAGATAAGAATTCTATTCAGTATCTATAAATTGGAATATCTACCGCGACGATAGCATTAGCAAAGATGGAGGTTGCCATGTGGTCATTACATATTGGCAGAAGATTTTGAACTCTATGTATATTAATTATTTTCATATGTATATACCTACTGTTTAATAAACATAAACTTATTTATTTTTATACTCTACATGAATTGTATATTCCTCTAAAAATATCTATACCTATGTAAGTAAATTAGTTGGTACTGATGTTGGCACATGACAGAGAAAAAAAATAATAAATTAAAAAAATAGCATTTTCCAATTAATATAAATTTTTATATATACAAAAATAACGGATTGTTGACTTATTCTTTATGTGCTGTCTCCAACTGGAGGTTGGCAATTATCGTGGCGATCTTAACCATGTCCACCGCTGTTTTGAACAGTGATTTGGTGTTAATCCCGTTTGTTGTCTAGCCGACGTATTACTTGAGTGTATTGTCCTTACCTTGGAGGATCGGGAGCGTGTTTCGCGACGCAAGTGAGATTGATATCCGAGCCAGCCCTTACGAATAGCTCTGGTCCAGATAGTATTTCCGCTTTTGAGACTGTTGACAAAAAAATTTGTTACTAGTAAAAACGTGGAATAAATTTAAAATTGTATAACGTGGTTTGACCAGGTTGATATGATTATGATCATTGACTATAGGATAAGAAATTACTTTATTACTAATATTAAATAAAACTATATAGAGGGATGTGTAGGGTATCAAATTATAAAATACGCGATTATTTCGTACTTCACATTTTTGCGACTTTTATAATTGGATAATGACAGCTAACCAGTGGAATAGTAAATAGGTTCAAGAAAAAAAAATCAAATGGACAAGAGTCAGATAAGTATTTTAAAATTTACAAATATCGACAGTTACAAATATCATTTTATTTCTCCGGACGTAATATACTAATGGATATATTTCGATTTATATTATTAACCCTTCTACAATACTAAATAGCGCCATAATAATTTATATATCTAATAATTATGCCTTTAAAATATTGTTTGCGAATGTTTTGTTCCCTAGAGCTCTATAAGCAATATCCTTATTGTTTTCTTTATCTTTCAAAGTAGAAAGCTCGCGATACAAATTATTATATTTCTTACAAAGAAACAATATTGCGTGAGAAAGTGTATTTTACGCAAAATTACAGTAATATATTTCCAGAATCTGATCCTTGGTGTAAACTTTCAAAGGGTTGCTTAATACCGTTACCTAAATAAAACCACAACTAACGATTAAGAAGTACAGAACATTGGAACGTAAAGGTTGATTTGAGATATACGAATAAATGTTACAATAAATTTCTGGAAATAGATTCTATTATGAATATAAATACATTTATATTGTAATATGTATTACAGAATGATTGAAATACAGGCAAGGGGCACACACACATGGAACAGAAATAAATACTTGGAAAATATTCTAAATCAGTACATTACACGTTAAAAGCGATAATATATACCTATAAATTGTAAAAGCTTTCGCTTGACTTAATAATTTTATATAATTCTGCGTGAAACGGAAGCATGCATTGTTGTTTTAGATATGGGACATAAATTTAACCTAATCAGCTATTTAAAGTACAGTTAAAAGATGAAGGACATATCCTAGGATTGTTAAATATAAGGAATGTCATGCAAATAGATTTTTTTAACGGCATCTATGCTTGGCAGAATGTGGACAACAACCACTTCAGTTCAATCACAAACGATGTTTTATTAGTCACGTTGTGTTTTAATTAACCACTCTTTCTTTCTTAATAATATTTTGTTGTAATTAAATATATTTTGCATTTTGTGTACTAATATTTGGTATTAAATGAGAACAATCAAACAAAAGAAATTGAGTCGGACGTCAGTCCTTAAAAATTTAATAATAAATTGAAGTGGAATTTAATTATGATTACATTTATAGTAATTTAGCTGACTAACTCAGGACTTCGTCCACGTCGAATATAACTATAATATATTTTTCTAAAATAAAAGTAGCCTAAGTTACTCCTTATTACATCAGCTACCTGCCAATAAAAGTCCCGTCAAAATCGGCTTAGCCATTTCTATGAGAAGCGGAACAAATAGATAGGCAGACAAAAATTGTAAAAAATGTTATTTTGGTGTATGTCCCGTATTTTATATATGAATATATGCATGTAGTAAAAAACGGTTATTTCAATACTACAAACAGACACTCCAATTTTATTTATATGTATAGATATATTTACTACAACGATGGTACGATAAGAATATCTTTTTTGTTGAGATGTTAGTGGGGATTATGATTTATTATGAACTACTCCGACGTGAGTGATAATGGAGTGATAATGGAATATAGTAATTTATAGGTTTATCTTTGCGTGTATATAGGATTATCCATATCGACTAAAGATCCCACGCTTTAAAATTTTCATCATTTGTGTGAACTTTTCTTATGATCGTGAAAAATTTTGATGAAAAAATACTTATAAATTCTAGTACTTCTAATATATTCTCTTTTACTTGAAACTACTTGTTATTAAAAGTTTGTATGGTATTTGAAAGGTTTGAGATATGATGTTAAAAATTAAATGGTATTAAATGACATCAGACAAAACGTGTTATTTCGTAAAAGGAAAACCTTTTTTTTTGCATCACTTACTCTTCTGCTTATTTCTGTATTTATCTACTTCATGTGGTATTATTTTTACAATTTGTAAAGCATATGCACTGACCTGTAATTTAATTGCGTGGGATTTACGTCAGAAATATACGAGTATGTTACGTAATATAAAATGTATCACAATATAACTTCATTTTTGTTACGTGCGTATTGGAATAAAAACCAAAATAAAATATTTCCATCTTATTCCAATAAAATATTTTGTGATATTTTCATTACAATTTTTAGTTGTTTTTTTATAAATATAACTTTGACGGCCTGGGCGATCTAGCAGTTTAACAAACCACTTCAATTCCAATGATCACAGGTTCGATTCCACGCATGGTACCAATATTTGCATTCATGGGTATGATTGTTTGTATTGGTCAAACTGTTATCTATTTAAATTACTTATGTATTTAATAAAAATATGTATTAGGCTAGGTATTTATCTGTTGCCTAGTATCTGTAACATAGCTCTGCTTAGCTTAATTATTTCATTACGATTAGCAATATCTAATATTAATACATAACCATCTATGTAAATTTCACATTGATTCACACAATTAAAGCCGCGTTACATTACGATAGTCTGAGATACTCACCAACAACTGTCAGACGAAAAGACAGACTAATCTTAGGCTCAGTAGAAACTTGACATTCGTAAGCCCCCGAGTCTCGAGGTTGAGCGGGCGCCACTCTAAGCGTCCATTCGTCCGATCCGTCAGCGTGGAGCGCAGCGAACCTTGCATCACTGCTGTACGTATGCACACCCACAGTTAGGATGTGTAAATCACGCTTACGGATCCAGGATACCTGCGAATATTAATCTGCATTAGTCAATGTGACTGCGGCATTTGTGATTGTTAGAGTTTGGATGTATGAAACACCCATACAAATTGTGGATTATTGGAGAAGTCCTAAATTATATTATAGTAAATCTCCTCCCCTTCCGTCACAACTGATTATATTGAAATTGAAATGTCATATAATATATGACATAAAAATTCTAGACGGGTGAATGTGCATCAAGCACCATATAATAATTGTATTTTTTATATATCATTTTTTCTATTATAATTATTGGTGTCGCGTACAAGCAGAAACAAAACGCAACACAAAAGGAGCGTTCTGATTGGAGCGCACACCCATCCAATTTAAATATGCAACGTATTGTAACAGACTTAAAATATCAACCGACCGATCTAACGTACATTTTGTTCACTCCACCAAATTTGTAATTATCACAGTATTTAACCATTAAATTCAAGACTATAAGCAATTCTATCATTTTCTACAACCCGTAATCATGCTGAAGCCAACATCACCTATATATCCATCTGAGCATTCGAGCCGCATCATCACGTACCAATTGGTTTTTAAATATGTCTTACACATAATACACTGGAATTGCAGTGCTAAAATTCATTAAAACTAACTACACAACAAATATTAAATCATTTCTGTCTTATAGTAGTTAGATCTCGTGAATAATTATTACTTTCGATTGCTAGTTACTACTAATATTAAAATAGGAACCGAAGAGTAACATGTTTAGAACTTGCGAAGGCTACAGTATATTTCGTATATGAAAACTCTTGCGAAGTTAGCGTCCTTAGTATATTTATCTCTTTATATTACAATTATATACTATATATCATACATTTATGCCCTAAATTAATACCAAATTATTTTTGATAACTGAATATTTACCTCATATTTTCTTGTCGTTAAAAGTGAGAATGTCAAACGTTGTCGATGGTTGTACCCCCACTTGGATCTAAATTGTTAAGACCCCATCCCTATGTTGAGAAGAGGACTGCCAAAACTAAGGCCTTGTGATTTGTGGATAGTAATAGCATATGTTAAGCAAATACGGAATTGTTCTTAACATATACATGACGTTAATTCATAAATAGCATTATCTATTGAATTCTCAAGTTTGAATGAGTTCTCATTCTCGCGTTAACTATACATTCCTACTTATAACTTCAAACTATTGTCTATACCATACTATTTACTAAAATAATGTAATAATAATATAACCACACATATATAAGAATAATTTAAGAAAACTATGAATTTCGTAGCATATACCAACCTCATAGGTTAGTTCAACGTTTTATCGCACTTCACTTACACTATCGATGTGCGCTAAATATTGAAACAATAATTAATACCAAATCTCAGTTAATAACATAATAAATACGAAATTCGACTATACTCCTAGTTATAAGTACGAGTATATTTTAGACAGAATCTAAATTATAGCAACTAGTGTTTACCGCTCAATGCAATATTTGAAGTTTGCTAGTTATCGACACTGATGTGAAGGGGTCAACGTAAATTGTTTTTCATAGAATTTTAGTATTCGCCCAGTATAAGTTGAAACAGTTCAATTAAAGTGAAAAATTGTATAAATAATAACTGTTGGTTTCATTTTTTCACATAATACACTGGAATTGCTTCCTAGTCATCTAAATATTCTATTTGATCAATAAAAATGACGATTTTTGGACTACACAACACATATATTAAATCATTTGACTTTATGTCTTATAGTAAAAGTTCCAAATGGTTCGTGTAAATATACACACGGTGCTGCTGAATAAATAATATACAATGATTTTTACCAAACCTCATTATTGCAATTTATATTATTATTAATATTTATTATTATTATTGCAAGAGCTAAACCCCGAAAAAAATATAAGACAGAAAACAGAAATTTATTGACAGAATAGTTAAAATCTGGCTATTTATAAGTTTTCTATATAATTTGAGATTAACAAAGTATGATATAGAAATATAAGTATTATATTATTAATTCATTTATATACACAAAGGACGAGAGTTATTTATCAGGACGCCTACTTAAATTCGGAGCACATAATTTTGATAATTTCATCAAGGGGCACTTGAGAAGGCAATGAAAGTCAATGTAATTTATGAGATAATTGTAATACAAAGTGGAAACAAGTATTTCAGGCCCTTCCGTTTAGTGCAGCCACGTCGAGCGTATCTGCTTGAATTTGTATTCTGAACGATTCACAGCGGGGTTTTAAAACTTTCTTCGTGACACGGTTTAAAGCGTGGCGGCGACAGAACTAACTGGATATACATAACTAGAAATCCCCGACTATTCTTTTTCTCAATGCTTAAGTTTTATGGGTCAAACCTAGATCAAACGGGACTTTATTCTTCCTAACTAGAAAAGCATTGACAGCGCTTAGTTGACACTGCTGGTTATATTTCTTAAATAAAATTGTATTTATTACACCAATTCTCTTTTTTTTTTAAACCTTAAGTATATTATTAAGATAGTTTAAAATAGGAAAAATAAATAAAATAGACATACGTCTGTTTATGTTATAGACATAAACACACGTATGTATTAATTATTTGTACTGTGCGTATCGAAATGTGCTGATGAGAAAGATGAGATATGCACGCGCCGAAGTTTAAACCGAATATCCCAATTTCAATATGGAAAACTTTCTAAATATATTGAAATATTATAATATTGTTAATTTAATATTAAATCTATAAAGTTCTTTATATTATGAGTCCAAAGACACATACGAGATAAACATCGAATTGTGTGACACCTATGTTAGTTGTAGTTTTGGTTAATAATTAATTTATTACAAAAGTAAATTAAATTTGACATTATTTGGTTTTTTATATGTCACTACTGTAATTGACTTAAATTGATGTTAAAGTGAACATATATTACACGTTTTTCCTAGAGAGTTTATAAGAAATAATAAGCAATTACAACTAACTTTCTAACTATATTGAAATATTAGAATATTGTTAATTTAATATTAAATCTATAAAGTTCTTTATATTATGAGTTCAAAGACACATACGAGTTTTGTAAACATCGAATTGTGTGACACCTATGTTAGTTGTAGTTTTGGTTAATAATTAATTTATTACAAAAGTAAATTTAATTTGACATTATTTGGTTTTTTATGCCTGCTGGATGTCACTACTGTAATTGACTTAAATTGATGTTAAAGTGAACCATATACTTACACGTTTTTCCTAGAGAGTTTATAAGAAATAATAAGCAATTACAACTACATACTTCATTTTATATTGACAAAATATTTTAGTAATTACAATATTCGATAAACGGCCAGAGACTTATTGTATCCGTTTACTTATGGTATCAATTTAGCTACCCGAAGATATTGTTTATTAAGTGTTTTTTAAATATCAAATTTATGTTAAAATTCAACAAGCATTAACATTGCTCCCAAAATAGAACGGTGTATACAACTAGATTACAATAGAAAATATCTAAAAATATGTAATCCTTTCTATCAGAACAATAAAGATTCTTACTACTTAAATTTATCTGTATACTAGTATATTGTAATCTAAAAACATTGTACGTACACAATGCCCAAGAAATTGTTTGTGGATGATACCACAGATAACATAATGATACCACTATTTTTTTTTCAATACGAAAGTGGCGTATTGCAAAAATCAAACTCATCTCTTGCGAAAAATATTATATAAATACATAAAAGATTTATTACTTTTGGCAATAATTGAAATCGCCAGTCAAAACGTGACTCGAGGTATAAGTGAGGTGAATCAGCGAATCTTCAATGAGTCAGCCCTTCAACAGCAATTTGGCCACTATTCAGTCGTCGGTCGCATCGGAAACCACATAAAAGATTGCCCACTCCAATGAATGGCGCTGTTATGCCTGGGTAAAAAGCTAAATGTCTTTTACTCTATACATTAGGTACATACTATGTATATTCATATTTTAATAAGATAAATTTCCAAACCTAGGGTGAGTGTTTTACATATTTGTTACTTACTATATAGACTGCATTTGAAAAGGTAGTCGGATTTATTGTTTGGAACAAAGTCATCTTTGATGCTACAACGACCAACTTCAATTTTGATGAACTTATATGCATATCACGAAAGCAAGACACTTCAAAGGTAAAAGTAAATATTAAAGCCCTAGAATTTATAAACATACCTCGTAGGTACAATAGGTACCTAATTATCCTGTTCAACAATTGTTCCTCTAGTAGGGTATTCATTAAAATTACTAACATTTTAAATATTATGCGAATTTCATATTTGTGTGTGTGGAGAATCTTTCAGAACTACTACATTTATTTAATAATATATTTGAATAATTATGAAGATTGCCTTAGATAGCCTAAGGCGATCTTTGTAATTATTTTGTATTGTTGCCCACTTCAGATGCCTACATGGTACGGTAGTGTTTACCAGTTACCAGATGGGCCGTATATTTGATTGCCACTTCTGTGGTATGAAAAAACTTTTTCTTCCGTACTTGTTCTGATTTATGCTTTTATTATTGCATATGTCACGTCGGTGGTTAATAGACAAAATGTATAAATAAAAAATACAATGAAATTAAGAAGCAACTCATATAACTGAATTTTAATTACAAATTAAGTTTAGGCGTGAAAAGATAAGACAGACAGAGTTATTTTCACATTGAGATTACCGGTTAGCAAAAGGTAGTATGGGGTAGAACTAAATAGCGTCATGTAGCCAGTTCAGGTCGTTGAGCCCGTATACTAAGTAGATAAGTACTTGCAAGCGACGTTGACAGGAGTTCGACATTGTAATTCTAATGTATCTGTACGATAAATGATGGCGGTAGTACTACTGTCACCACTTTATGCCCCATTAGACTGGAAATGTTATTATGAATAATACATTTGATTATAGGTTATTTATTGTGGACAGTAGTATGTGTAAAACAGTGCCAGGCATTTATTACCGTATTAAGTGAAAACGGCAGAACA